AGTGGTCGTTATCACCACAGTCATTAAGTGAACCCAGTCATTAAGCGAATGTCCATTGTAAAACATGGTCACATGACTGTAAGACCCTATAAATGCAGCCTGGCTGCCCAGCCCCCTTGAAGGCAGAGCTTCGGTCCATCACACACACACACACACACACACACACACACACACACAGAGGCAGGACAACTCCAGAGTGGCAGCTGCTGGGTTAGGGTCCCCTGGGGGGACTTAATGCTGAGCGTGAGGCTCCCAGCGGGCCAAAGGGGGAAAGGAACCTGCTGGAATAACTTGTTTATTGTAGGATGTTCCTGGGCCTCTTGGGCCGACTTGTGATGAAGCCAAGAAGTGCCGGGATCGGATTTTACCCTAATCCAGAAGACGTTTCTTGAAAGATACATAAAAATGAAGCCAGAATTTGGGAGGACAAACAGCTTGAAAGGAGATCTGGGTGACCGTGGATGTTTTATCTGCACAAAGAGGGAGAGCCACATCAATTCCCAGATGCTCAGGGCGATTAGAGTTGGTGGAGAGGGCAAAATGGCCTCTTCCAATTAAAGAGAATAATTGGTCTAGCTCCATTTCCAACTGAGAACCCCTCCTGGCTGTTTGTACTTGAAAGCAGAAGAAAAAAAAAAGTGAAGCTCTAATTTTAGGTTTTGATGTTTAGAATAACTTTGTTATGGAAATAATCTGAAGTATTGAGAAACATAAAGCAAAAAGTTGAGGTTGTAACTCATTTTCTTTTATGTACACTGACAGCATTTGCACCAAAATAAACTCCTTGTGTGTCCAATCACACTTGGCAGGGGTGGGATTCAAATTTTTTAACAACCAGTTCTGTGGGCGCGGCTTAGTTGGTGGGAGTGGCTTGGTGGTCATGTTATTGGCTGGGCGTGGCCAACTCAACATCACTCACATCGAGGCACGCATCTCCTCGCCTGGCCTCTCATGACTGTGGGGATGCTGCAACAGTCGTAAGTATGAAAAAGGATCATGTCGCTTTTTTTCAGTGCCATGGTGACTTTGAACGGTCCCTCCACACAAGCAAAGTACCAGCAAAGGAGGGGGAAAAAAACTCCAGAGAAGTTCCAGAGACAGGAAGTCTAGTCCTGCCAAGAATGTAATAAGGGTTAACGGAGAGGCAGTTTCTGTAAGCAACACCAGAATGTTTCCTTCCTGCCTTCCTTACAGGATTAGGCCAGTAATTTCTTCTAACAACCGGTTCTCGGAACTGCTTAGAATGTTAACAGCCAGTTCTGGTGAATAGGTGCGAACCTGTAGAATCCCACCCGACATTTGGCCAATAAAAGAATTCTAAATTCTAAATTTGTATTCTGATGCACTGAAAAGAATTAGAAATTACTTTCTTTTTTCTTCTTCATTTTCTCTTACACTCCTTTCTTTTTAATTGTCTTAATTTTTGCTTCTGTTTGCATTTTAACTCACAATAAACTCTAATAATAAACGAAACAAAGCTGAAGCCATTGGATGAGTAACTTCCCGAAAGTTGTGTCTTTTTGTTTTCGTTATTTTCAAGAGTTGTCGATATAATGGACAAGTTTCACACAAAAGTGAGCGTTCTCTGATTCAGGAGCTGGAGCTGTGGTTATCATTCAGTTGGGTCTGACTGTTTGTGATCCCATGGACCTCAGCACACCAGCCCCTCTCCCTCCCCCCCCTCCAGAGTTTGCCCAAATTCCGCTCATTGCCTCGATGTCCCCGTCTAGCCGCCTCCTTCTTCTGCCGCCCCCTGCACGTTTGGCCCCCCATCTTCCGCAGCATTGGGGTCTCTTCCAAGGAGTCCCTCTTCTCATGGGGTGGCCCAAGTCTTGGAGCTTCACCTTCAGGCTCTGTCCTTGCAAAGGATCGACCCGTTTGGTCTCGAGGGGGGCTCTCCAGAGGCTTCTCCAACGCCAAGTCAGTTTCCACATTCCAGGAAATGGCGTCTTTAGCAAAGCAAGGAGCGCCTGATGGGTTTGGGAGTCCCTTGCAGGCAGCCCCAACTGGCCTTGGGAGGGGGGTGGTGTTTCTCAGCTTTGGCACCTTCAGCCAGTCTCCCACCTTCTGGGCCCCCACAAAACCCGTGGAGCCATTTCTGTGCAGCTCAGGCAAAATATCCCCATCCTGGAGCCTTCTGGGGGCCTTTGAAGATCAGCCAGATGATCCTGGCATCCAGGGCTGCCGGCTGGAAAAAAACCGTTGACCTGAGTGCCCCCCCACCAAAAAAATCTGTTTCTTTCAGAACTGGTATCCCAGAGCTCCAAGGGAGGATGGGCTGGCCTGCCCCCCCTCCCGTCCCCCTCTGGCAGAGAAGGGGGAGGGCACGAGGGACCCCGGCTTCTCCTAGGCACATCTTATCGATGACCCTGACCATCAAGAGGGCCGAAGAGGAAGCTGGTGCTCAGAACGATGGCCTGGCAAGCTGCCTCTCTGCCCACGAGGCCTTGGACCTCCGCCCTCCCCGGCAGGGGGGGAACACAGCCCACTGGAAGGAGGCCGGCTTGGACTAATGGATCCCGTGAGTGACAGGAGCCCCTCCGGATGCTGTGGGGCGCCTCTTCCCCCCTCAAACCTGGCCGTTATTTCCTAAGGGGGGGGGGCACTGAGGAAGACCTGGAGTCTCAAGATCCCTGGGGGAACCAGAAAGGGTAAGAGGCTGAGCAGGAGAAGGTAATTCGAAGGGAGAGGAGGGGCTTTTTTCTGAACCCAGGTCAACCAAGTCTGAGTAACGAGGCTGGGAAGAGGAGGAAGAGGAAGAGGAGGAAGAAGAGGAGACCCTCCCAAACTTGCAAGAACCAGCAGGAAAGAAAAGAGAACACAGCTGGTCCTCGACTTATAACCAAAATTGAGCCCAAAATTTCTGTTACTAACCAAGATATTGGGTGAATTTTGCCCCGCTTTACAACCTTCCTTGCCACAGTTGTTAAGTGAATCACTGCAGTTGTTAAGTGAATCTGGCTTCCCCATTGACTTGGCTTGTCTGAAGGTCCTAAAAGTGCATCACGTCACCCTGGGACACTGCAGCCGTCATAAATGGGGGTCAATGGCCAAGCGTCTGAATTTTGATCGGCTGATGTGGTCACAGCCATCAACCATTTTTGTCCCAGTGCCGTTGTAACTCTGAGTGGTCACTAATCAAACCGTTGTAAGTCTGAGGACTGCCCGTAAAGGAAAGAGGGAAACTGGCCCAAAGAACGGAATTGCCGCGAACAATCCCTGCGGATGCCGCCACTTCTCAAACGGAGGAAACTCTCCCCAATTGGGTCACTAAAACGAAATAAAAGCACTGGGATTGGCGCCTGGAATCAAGCTGATTTTTGTGACGAGCCTGTCACTCCAGTCCCCCAGGAGGAACATCCCGGAGCAGCAGCAGCAGAAAAAGGAGAAATAAAACGGGCCTGGAAAACAGGGGGAGATTAGTTTGTATTTGGGGGGCTGTTTTGCCTGCCTGGGAAAGTTAAGGATGAAGTTATCCTCAGAGGAGGGGAGGGGGGGGGAATCCAGCCCACTAAGCCAGAGGTCCCCAAACTTGGCAGCTTTGAGACTTGTGGACTTCAACTCCCAGAATTCCTCCTCCTCCTCCTCCAGTCATGTTAGCTCAGGAATTCTGGGAGTTGAACTGCACAAGCCTTCAAGCTGCCAGGTGTGGGGCCTCCTGCCCTAAGCTGTATGGAGAAAGACGGTCCCGATAGAGGAACTGCCACTTACTGGGTCCGCCCTGGATGGAGAGCCGGAGAGGGGCAAACGGGGGGGGGGGGGGAAACCGAGCCCCCCCCAACCCCACTTGGCTGGGTTACTCACTCTGAAGTCGCGGACCTTCAGCCGTCCGTGGGGGACACGAAAGAAGGTGTCTGTCTGAAGGAGGAGAGAGCCGGGGGATCCGCTCAGCTGCTCCACCCGGCTAATCAGCAGGGCCAGATCCTGCACCCGGGCCTTGATCTCCACATTGGCCGGCATCTACAAGACACGCAGAGATCAGGGGAAGCTGAGGGGGGGGGGGTTCCTGGTGCTCTCTGTGGTTCCCTTGCAGGCGTTTCATGACCCAACTAGGGAACAGCTCCAGTGCCAGGTGGGAGTTTACATACTAGTGGCTCATCCTATTGGGGTTGGCAGGAGCGTTTCCTTCCTGTTGGTTCCTCCATTGGCCTGTTGTCTGTTGCTTGATTGCGTGTTTGAGTTCTTGATTGGGGTATAAACAGAGACCAACCCCTCTCTAGCCCTGATGATGTTACCTAGCAGGGCCATGAAGCGCCTGCCGGGAAACCACCCAGCTCAGAGCACCTGCGGCTCAACCCTCAGCTACAAATATTCTCTTCTCTTGAAGCGGAGGATCTTCGGGGGAAATTCCCCTCCAAGGAGCTCAGTTCATCCCCACGCCCCCATCCCCACCGCGCAGCTTCTGGCCAGCGCCTGTCCGCCCTTGTCGGGGCCGAGCAGACTCGCGGGGGACCCAGGCGGGCTCTGAGGCCGGCACAACAGGGGGGGACCGGCCCGGATCTTTCTTCGGGGGGCGGGCGGGGGGACTCTGCTTCTCCAACCCCCCGGCTGCCCTAGACACGAGCAGCTCTCAGCTGGCTCCACGCCCCCCGCAAAAGGCCCCCCACGCAGGTGGCCCAACCGGAAGAGAAAGGCGAACACAGCCGCCGTCCGGGGACGCACAACTGCTATTCCGCATTCTCTTCGCCCGAGTGAGGCCGCGGGGCCGGCCAGGCCGCCTTTCCCAAGGAACTTACTCCCAGTTGCGGGTTTGAGTTGCGCCCGGTCTCCGGCGGCGCGTTCACACAACAGCCTCTACACGTGTCGCGACTTTCAGCTTGGCCGGGGTCTGCCGCTCCGGGATTGGCGCCGCGACCAGCTACGTCACGCCCTCCGATTGATCGCCTCCTCCTATATGCCCCGCCCCTCCTGCACCGGGCCCGAACCGCAGCTTGCCTTCCGGCCCCCGGCGCCGGCCCGGACCAATGGGAGCGCGAGAGAGGCGGGCTCGGGGCCGGAGCCCGGGGGCGGGACGGCCATTGGTCGGCTGCTGGCGATGGAGGCGCCCGAGGGAGACGGGCCGGACGGAGACCGAGCCGCAACCCGCTCGCCCCGCGGCTGCCCGGCCGTCCCCGCGCCCACCCGCCTGCGCGCCTTCCTCTGGTGCCGGGAGTTCCTGGCCGGGGCCTGGCGCCGCCTGGCCGCCCCCGAGCAGCTGGGCATCGTCCCCGTCAGGTGAGCCATGACGTCACCGCCCCGCCCTGCGCAGGCGCGCCGCCGCCGGGGGAGGAGGGAGAGCCGCGCCTTTGCGGGGGGGTGGGGGGCGCCCGCCGGGATGCCCTGGGATGCGGGGGGCGGGAGAAGCCCCGGTCCCTCCTGGCCGGGATCCCGCCGTGGCCCCTCGCCCAGCTGACCCCGGGGGTCTCGGCTCCCCCGAGCCTGGCGGTGCGGAGGCTCCCAGGGCAGCAGCCCCCGCTGGCCCCAAGCGCTTGGGGCACCCCTCCCGCGGCGACCCCCGGCCCATTGCGGGGACCCCGTTCCACCGCGGCTGGCTGGGGATTCTGGGAGTTGGAGTCCGAAAGTCTTGGAAGTGGCTAAGGTGGGAGACCCCCCCCCCCCACCAAGGCTGCGGGCTCTGGGAGACACGCAACAGGCACGCACCGTGGAACTCAGGTAGTCCTCGACTTACGATCACACTCCTCCCCCCTTCTGCTGCTAAGTGAGGCACTTGTTAAGGGAGGTTTGCTCCATTTTATGACCTTCCTTGCCACCGCTGTGAAGGTGAACCCCGGCCGTTGTTCACGTTAGCAACTTGCTAAGTCCATCCAGCCCCCCCACTGGCTGTGCTGGTCGGAGGGTCGCAAAAAGGGGACCACGTGACCCCAGGATGCTGCGACCGTCATAAACAGGAGCCACTGGGCAAGCTGGTCTGGATTTGGGCCCCGTGGCCGAGGGGAAGCTGCAAAGCGTGGAAAACAGTCACTAAGCAAACTGTAGTAAGTCGAGGACTACCTGTCAGGAGAGTTGGAAGGGGCCTCGGAGGTCTTCTAGTCCAGCCCCCTCGTTTGCGTCCCCTGGGAGAAGTCGGGGCTGCCTGCCTCTTTCCCGGGAGGGGAAGGGAAGGGGGCCTGTCCCACCTGTCTGCCTCTGCTTCCCCCGCAGTGGCGGCCTGAGCAACCTGCTGTACAAGTGCTCCCTGCCGGACCACGTCCCGAGTGTCCAGGAGGAGCCCCGCCAGGTCCTGCTCCGCGTCTACGGCGTCATCCTGCAGGTGAGCTCCGGCCGGGCTTCCCAGAACCCTCCCTCGCCTGCCTGCCTGCCCCCACGGCCCCAGGAGAGCCAGCCGGGCCTCACAGGCAGTCCTCGACTTACAGCAGTCCCCTTAGTGACCGTCCAAAGTTACAACGGCCACCGAAAAGAGGGACTTGTGACAGTTGCAGCCTCCCCAGGATCAAGAGGTGCTTGCCAGCTGACTCACATTTATGACGGCGGCTGTGTCCCGGGGTCACGTGATCCCCTTTTATGGCCTTCTGACGAGCGAAGTCCAGAGGGAAGCTGGATTCACTTAACGACTGCAGTGGTTCACCTAACGACTCTGGCAAGAGAGTTCGTAAAATGGGACAAAACTCATTGAACAAGTGTCTCCCTGAGCACCATAAATGTTGGGCTTGAGTTTGGTCGTAAGTCGAGGACTGCCTGTACTGAAGGAAGTGGACGGGGCCGCCCTGGCTTTGCCACGAGGGGTTGCAGGCCTCCCCCTCCTCCTCCCCTCCCCCTCCGGATGCATCTCCCTCCCACCCTCCCTCCCTCCCTGCCAGCTGATCAGCCGCAGCGGCGGCCCTGGGCTCCCCTTGCTGGGGAAGAGCCGAAGCCGCCACTCCTGGGCCCTGGACTGCCCCAGGCTGCCTTCCGTGGGCTGATGACCGCTTGACCGGCCGCCTGGGGACTCCCATGGCCCCGATCCCGCTGGCTTCCTGGGAGCAGCCCCTTCAGCCTCTCCCCCCTCCCACAGGGGGTGGACTCGCTGGTTCTGGAGAGCGTCATGTTTGCCATCCTGGCCGAGCGGGCGCTGGGACCACGGCTGTATGGCATCTTCCCGCAGGGCCGCCTGGAGGAATACATCCCGGTAGGTGGCTCAGCCCGCCCCTCCCCCCACCCCCCTCCCCGGCAGGCGGGACAGGCTGCAACCTGGGGCTGAACCAGGCTTGGCCCAGTGCCTGCCCTCTCCTGGCCCACTTTCTCCTCCTCCTCCTCCTCCTCCTCCTCCTCCTCCTTTGCCTGGAATGGCACAGGGTCTCCTGCTTGAGAAGGGGGCTGGACTAGAAGACCTCTGAGGTCCCTTCCAACTCTCTTCTTCTGATTGCCAGAGTCCCGTTTTAATGAATGGTGAAGAATTAAAGGGAGGGGGGGAGGGACCCAGGATTCGGCTGCCGGTCCGTGCCGGTCCGTGCCTTAAGGCGCTCAGGAGAGGGGCAGGGCTGCCCTCACAAGCCCCCCGTTCCCCCCCGCAAGGAGTCCCCAGAGTTGCCTGTGGGAGACCAGTTTGTGCACAGGTTCGAACTCGAGTCCACACTGGAGGCAGCGCTGCTTTGCCTGTAACCTTATTTGGTTGCTTTCTGGACCTTCTGACTCCGAGCAGCTCTGGGTGACTTTGAATTCCCAAAGGGGCAAAAACCCCAGGAAGCCGTCAAAGGGGCCTCAGGGAGCCGGGATCCTCGTCCGGGAACAGAGCAGCCCACAGCCCCCATCCCCCACCCTCCCCTCTCGACCCCCCAAGAGGTGGGGAAACAGCCGGGCCTTCCGAGGCTGTAGGAGTCGGAGCGTGGGACGTCTCATTGTGGCTTTGTGCCTTGTGTGCGTGTGTGTCACGCGTCCTTCTCTCCTGGCTGTCTCCCTCCTGCTCTCTCCCAGCCGGAGGGGGGGGGGCTTTGGGGGCGGGGCTTATAATTCCACATGAGCTCAGGGGTCTCCCAGAGCCCTTCGTGACCCCCCTGCCACCTCTCCATCCGCTCCCCCACCACGATTCCACCCCCCTCCCACCCCCCGCCGATGGCCACAGGGCTGCCCTCTGTCTCCGCCCGCAGAGCCGCCGCCTGGTGACGGAGGACCTGCCCGAGCCGAGCATCTCCGGGGAGATCGCGGTGAAGATGGCCCGCTTCCATGGCATGGAGATGCCCTTCAACAAGGAGCCCAAGTGGATGTTTGGGACCATGGAGCGGTGGGTCCCGGCCCCTCCCACCCGCCCCCCCCCCTCCCAGGCAGCGGGAGCCTCCTTCACCCTCCTCCTCCTCCTCCTCCTCCTCCTCCTCTCTTCCTGGCAGGTACCTGAAGCAGATCTCGGAGCTCACCTTTCCCCAGGAGGCCCAGCGGCACAAGCTGAACCGGCTCAAGGCCTACGACCTGGAGGCCGAAATGCACAGCCTCAGGTGGGCAGGCGCCCTTCTGGCCGGGCTCCCGGCCCGCTTTGCAGCAGCCTCTAATCCCCCTCCCCCACCTCCCCCCGGGGTCAGGCAAGGGCTGCGGGGGGGGGCAAGGTGGGCTCGGGGGCTGGGAGACGCCGCTCTCCCCCGCCCCCCCCCGCTCAAGGCAGACCCCCTCTCTCCCTCTTCCCCAGGACGCTGCTGGAGGCCACGCCGTCCCCCGTGGTTTTCTGCCACAATGACGTGCAGGAAGGTGAGGGCGCCTGGCGGAGGCCCTGGGCAGCCCCCTGGCGGAGGCCTGGGCGGAGGTCCCGGCTGGGCTGGCGGCCAAACCCCCTCGCCCCCTTTCTCCCCACCCAGGGAACATCCTCATCCTGGCTGGGCGCCAGGCCGCCTCCACCGACCGGCTGATGCTCATCGACTTTGAGTACAGCAGCTACAACTACCGGTAGGCCGGGCGGCCGGGCAAGAGGGAAGGGAGAGGCCAGGCTGGTCCTGGTGCCGCTCATCAAGGCGTGGAGGGGGGCGGGGGGCTAACCCTAACCCTAACCCTTTCTGGAACGTGTGCGTTGTATTGCGGTGGAAAGCAACCCAACGGTGCCGGGTTTGTGTAACATGCTCTGTCTCTCACACACACACAACACACACAAATCCTGGGCAAAAAGGCTAAAAACGAACCTGGCGTGTTGCTGCTCTGGCCAGCCTTTAGCTCCTGTGGGAACCCAGCCATTCTGTGAAACTGCCTGGGGGTGGGCTTGGTTTAGCGGGGGGAGGCGGGTGACAACTTTGGAAAAGTGGGTTCCAGGCATTCCTCGACTTACGACAATCATGGAGCCTGCCCATCACTGTCGGAAGTTGTGACAAATCAGAAAGCAGATCTACAGTTTATTTTTGTGATGGTCATTAAGTGAATCCGTGGTTTGCAAAGGGCGCAGTAAATGCCCGGTTTGGGCAGAACTGCCATGAAATACGGTCGGGTGACCGCGGGACACGGCAGGCGTCTTTTAAACGCAGCCATGTCTCAGCGCCCACAGTTTGGTCGTGGGACAGCCGAGGGAAGGGCAGCCACGGGAACTCGGAATCCGGCTGGTAAGTAGCCCCCAGGTTGGACCCTGAGCAATCGGTCGTAAGTCTGACTTAGTAACATAAGGAGGTGTTTGGAGAAATACAGAGATATGCTGAACAAATCCGGTGCTCCTCTTCCTCCTTCTCCTCCTCCTCCTCCTCCTCCTCCTCTTCCTCCTCTTTCTCTTCGTTCTCTCCTCCTCCTCCCCCTCCTCCTCCTCCTTCCCTTCCTCCTCCTCCTCCTCCTGCAGGGGCTTCGACATTGCCAATCACTTCTGCGAGTGGGTCTACAGCTACGCCCACGACGAGTGGCCCTTCTACAAAGCCAGCCCGGAGAACTACCCCAGCCGCGAGCAGCAGGTAACGGCCCTGGGGAGGGGAGGGGAGGGGAGGGGCAGCAGGACGGGTGGCGGAGAGGCCTTGGCCGCCCCTCCCTGGCCTGGGGGCTTGTGGAGTCAAAGGCAGGGCCCCAACCCCCAGCCTATTCCCCGGGCACCCTGGAGGAATAGCGGGGGGACCCCCACGGCCTGAAGGATGCGGCCACACACAGGCAGCCGTCTCGGGGGTGTGTGTGTGTGTGTGAAAGCAGAGATGCTCCTTCCCTGCCCCTCCTGGCGTTTCTAGCCTCGGAGAAAGACGGTTGTCTTAGCGGCCAGAAACGCCACGCTTGCGGTTGCCACGGAAGCCTTGAGGCAGCAGGCCGGGAAGTGGGGACTCCTGCGTTGCCTCAACGAGCCCCCATCCTGTCTGCCTGCCTTGACAACCGGCTCCCCGTCCCTCTTTGCGGGCAGCAGCCATGACCCTGGAAGTGGGGACCGAGCGTCCTTTCCGCCCCCGAGTCTCTCCGGCCAAGTGTGGAAGGTGGGCAAGAGAGCTTACAACTCGGCCTCTTGACTGGCCTTGCTTCCTTCTCTGGGAGTCTTACTTTAAATGCCCCGGGGGGGGGGGGTTCCCCCCTTGCTCTCCAGGACTGTAACCTGCCAACGGTCTGCTTGGCCGTTTCACAGCATCACGGGAGTTGGGTGGGGCCTGGGAGGTCTTCTAGTCCAACCCCCAGCTCAGGCAGGAGGCCCTGCATCACGTCAGACGAATGGCTGTCCAGCCTCTTTTTAAAAGCCTCCCGTGATTGCTGGAGGCAGCCTGGCCACCGGTTGACCTCTCCTTAGGTCCAGGCTGGTTCTCCCCCTGGTCAGTTTCCTTACGTTGCTTCTTGCCTGCCCTGAGGGGGCTTTGGGGAAGAGGCTGCCCCCCCCTCCTCCTCTTTGGGGCAGCCCCGCAGAGATCGTGTCGGCCCTGGTCCCTCTCTTCGTTCGCCAGACCAGATCCTGCCCCCCCGCTGCTCCTCCTAGGTTTTATCCTCCAGGCCCTTCCGCCCTCCGGGTGGCTCCTCTCTGCACCCTTTCTGGGACCTTTTCCACCCTGGGGGGGGATGTCGGCTGGTGGAGCCGATCGATGGACCGAATGAGCCTCTTCCACAAAGGGGAAATATGCTGGAGGCTGCTCAGGAATCGCTGGGAGCCGGCGGGGAAAGCCTTCGCCATGCCCAGGCGGAAGCCGCCACCACCTCCTCCTCCTCCTCCTTGAACCCCAGGGCGGTCTCCCTCGCCGCCCCCGGTTGATCTCCGCCTCGACTGTCCCAGGGGCCTCGGACGCTTTGCCTAGGAGTGGCGGGCAGGCAGGAGGAGGCTCGGCTCCGAGGGGCAGCCAGGGCGAACTGAAGGCGGCTGGCCTCACCTGTCTCCCCCCCCCCCTCAGCTGCACTTCATCCGGTGTTACCTGGAGGAGGCAGGGGGGAAGGCCGACCCCCCCTCACCAGAGGAGCAGGAGCGCCTGGAGGCCAAGATGCTTCTGGAGATCAGCCGGTCAGTCCTGGGGGGGGTGGGGGGGTAGGGGGGTGGCCCTTCTTTGGGTTGGGGGTGGAGAGTTGTGGCTCTTTCCTTTAAGGGGGAGGGGGGGGCATTGCAAGGGGCTTCGGTCTGCCCCTCATTCGCCTGGGAGACGCTCCCGGTTAGGAAAAGCTGCCTCTGTGGGCCATGAACGGCAGAGGCCCCCCCCCCAGCTGACTCTTTCTCCCCCCCCCCCGTCCCCCCAGGTTCACCTTGGCCTCCCATTTCTTCTGGGGCCTCTGGTCCATCCTGCAGGCCAAGATCTCCACCATTGAGTTTGGCTACCTGGTGAGTGCCGAGGGCTGGCTCCCACCCCCCCACCAACCCCCGGGGCAGGGGAAGGCAGCCTCTGGGCCACTTCGATACGCCCTGGAGGGGCCGGGGGCTGCCCCAGAGGGTCTCGGGATGCTGGGCTGCCCCTCTTTTGCCAGGGCAAAGGGGGCCGGTGGGGGGCCCTCTGCCCAGCCTGTCATTCCCTCCTTCCAGGAATACGCCCAGGGCCGCTTTGAGGCCTACTTCCAGCAGAAGGCCCGGGGCGAGTGACCGCTGGCTGTCCGGCGGCCATAAACTGGCCTGACCAGAGCTGACATATCGCACAGCTGGAGCCGAAGGACCAAGACAGGCGGGGCGGCTGGTCAGCCCTCCTGCAAGAGACGCTTTGGGGCCTTTGGAGGCCTGGATGGACTCGGCCAACCTGGTTTTGGGGGGGCTCCCATGACGCCCTGCAGGGCGAGGGGTCGGCCGCAGCCTCCTTCCGGATCGGCTGGGGGCATTGGGGGTGGGGGGTCCATGCCTTCCTCAGGGGCAGCCCAGGTTGGCAGGCGGGAGGGATATGGGGCACGGGGCCTCTCACGCCTGGGCTGCCTCGGGGCTCCAGGCTCCGTCCTCTCCTGCCCGGCGCCTGCATGGAGCCGCCAGGCGAGGGCTGCCTTCCAGGTGGAGGTTCTGCCAGCGCAAGCGGACAGCCAGGGCACCTGTGAACTTCGCCCCTTTGTGTGGCTCTGGTTGCCCACACCTGACAGTATGATCCCCCCCTCCGTCGCCCAGCTATGTTCCCCCCCCCCTTGGAGGGGGCCGCATTTCCCCGTTCCAGACTGGGGTGCAGCTGGGGGGGGGGCGGTTTCCTTCTGCCACTAGACGAGTCTTTGCGCTTTTCATCCTGTGCGCCAGTTGCACCCTCTGCCTTCCCTTCCGTCACTCACACCCTGGTCGCCTGCAACGCCCTCTAGATGGGGCTGCCCTTGAAGACCAACCCAGCCGTGCTGCAGAGGCTCATGGGCACCTCCCGCGTGCCCCTCGGTCGCCACTGGGAGGTGAGCTTTGCCAGCTGCCAGCCGGCGCCCAAGGGCCGGTTATTGCCTCCAAAACTCTGCAGGCCAGAGCTGGAGGCTCATGTCTGCAGGGGCTACACGCCAAGTCCTTCCCCCCCCCCCCATGAAGCACTGCCACCCCGTGGGACCCTGGAAGCCTTTTGCTTCTCTCTTGGGGGCCCCCACCCCTGCCTCGGTGGTGGGGGGAGGGGCTCGGTTCCAGAAAGCATGGAAAACTTGGCTTTGGTTCCCGTTTTGGGTCGCTGATCTTATTCTGGGCTAATAAATCAACGAGATGTCCAACGTGGGGGACTCCGATGCCCCCCATGAGGTTTCCTGCTGTCCGTCCTCGGGGCAGCTCCTCCCTGGAGCAGAGGGATCCAGCCGTGGACGGATGCTTTGCACTCTCGGTCAGAATACGGCACAAAATAAAATACGCTCCTTTGTAGAAAGCTGCATTTCAGCCCGAGTGTTTTATTTATGAATGGACAATGGACCTCCCCACTGGAGGCGATTCTGGGGGGCTTCGCCCCTTCAGCCTCTTGAAAAAGGCCGAGGGAGGCCTGAAAGGGGGGGTGGGTCTTGCATTTGTGGTCCAGCAGCAGCAGCAGCAACCTTCAGGCAGGGCAGCCAATTGCTCCCCTCTCCGTACACGAGAAGAACCAAGGCTGGACTGCAAACTGGACCTGAGGGTGGGAGGATCTGGCTGCCCAGAGGACCGAGTGGATCGGGAGAGGCCCCGGCTAGTTCCCCAGGGCCAGATTCCGAGGAGAGACTGACTCCTCGGGTGGAGATTAAGGCACCCAGAGGTGAGCTGAATGCCAGCTCAGGTCGGCTCCCACCAGCGAGAGCCACAGGGGGAGGGGCCAGAGGAGGCCGGCTGCAAACCCCTGGCGGGGGGTTTCTTACCACCCGAGGGTCCCCATTCATGTCCCTATTCCAGCCAAGGTGAGCCACCCTGGTTGATGTTTAGTCCACCGCTGTTTATCCTGCCAGCCGCCCTCCAGGGATCGGCCAGCCCAGCCCCCAGCCTCACCCTTCCTTCCCCCCCCCCACCCCCGCTGGCTGGCAGGCCCTAGAAGGAATAGTGGAGGCTGCTGGGCCTTTGCAAAGCCGGATGCTCTTGAAGGGACCCCCACCCCCAAATAGGAGAAAAGGGGATCTGGTGAGGGGAATCTCTCTGAAGGCCCCAGAGATCCCTCCCCCAATCGGATTCCTAATTTTACAGCCACCTTCTGCCTAATCCCAGGAGCCCAATTTCAGGAGCGCGGAAGAAAGGCCACCTGGCCTCCCCTAATCCGCCCCGGAGCTTTCTGTAAACAGCCGCCAAAGGCAAACCCGCCCCCTGCTGAAGCCCTGAGCACATAGGTTTCTCCAAGGACACGGCGGGCGGGAGTGGCTGGCAGGGCGCGGCCATGCCCAGAACAAGGGGAGGAGGCCCCAGGGATGCCCTTTTAAATCTCAGCCGCTTTGGGATGGGTGGACTTCAACTCCCAGCATTCCCCAGCCAGCGTGCAACCCCTGGATCTCCGCTAAGCCCGCAGAGAGATTGCTGCAATACCTGGGGATGAGGTGGGTCTGATTCCTGGGGTGAGGGAGCGGGGAAGGAGGGCCAATTCCTCCTTGGGGGGCTTCAGAGGTGGACTCCGAGGTCCGGGGCGGGCTGACCGAGTCACCTGAAGGAGACTGGTCAGCCCTATGCTCAGATAGGGAGTGGGTTGACAAAGTCCCTACAACACATCCCGGGGTTGTGCTAACAAATGCACGGCGTGGGATGCTGGCTTGACAGAAAGGCTTGATAGAAAGACACTACAGAGGGGGGTGAGCTCAGCACAAAACATCATGGGATGTTCCTTGACACTGCTAGATGACCTCGCTAGGGCTCGCTGCCTTAGAAGAGTGAGGAAAATCCTCAGGGACGACTCCTACCCCGGTCAGCCCTTCTCCACTCTCCTGCCACTGGGAAGGAGGCAGAGAAGCAGAGCCAGCCGCACCAACCGGCTGAAGAACAGTTTCTATCCGTGGCTGTCAGACTCCTGAAGGGAAAGTAACTCCGTGTCCACATAGTAGGATGGACTTGTGGGGGCCGGCAGGTTGTGCAACAAGGTCACCTAGTGTAGTAAGATTGGTTGACTGGGTCAGGCAACGTCTGTCCTCCCTGTGAGTTGTGTTTGAGGGTGGGTTACACGAAGTGAGGCTCAGCCAACCCCATTGGAAAACAGGTTGCACTCAGATCACAAAGGTGGTAATAATAACCAGGGGCTGCAAGTCAGCCCTCAGCCCCCAAGGTGGACATAACCCCCCCCCCAGCTGGTGGGAGAATGGGTGGAGGGGGTTCCCCCTCAGCAGGGCCTTCGGACAGAGAGAGCCGATTGCCACTGCAATTGAAGGCACCGACACAGGGGCTGGGTCAAGGCCGCGTGGCGTTGTAGTGAGCTTTACGAAGCCTCCGGAAGGCCACACCTGGAATCCTGTGTCCCCCTCGGGTCTCCGCGACACCAAAAAGAGGTGGAGACTCTGGAAAGGGTGCAAAGAAGAGCAACAGAAAGAATTAAGGGGGCCGGAGGCTAAAATGTACGAAGAACAACAGTTGCAGGATCCGGGCACGACTAATTTAACGAGGAGGACTGGGGCGGACCTGATAGCCCTGTCCCCGTGTTTGAGGAGGGGAGCCCACCTGTCCTCCGGAGCACCAGAAGGCCGACAAGCAGCAACAGGTGGGACCTCCGCAAGGAGAGAAGTGACTCAAGACTAAGGAGAAACTTCCTAAGAGTGACAGCAATCAATCGATGGAGCAGAAATGATATCTAAGGCCTCCCGCTTGAGCAGAGGGTTGGACTAGAAGACCTCTGAGGTCCCATCCAACTATTCTTGTTCCGTTCTGTTCTCAGTGGACCAAAGACGCCGAAGGGCCACGTGGCGGGGAAAATGGGCTGGATGATTGCAGGGGAGATCCAAGTAGTCCTCACTTAGCAACGAGTCCCATGTCCACCGTCCAAAACTACCAAGGACCTTCCCAGAGCTATTTCCGGCCCAGTTCTGGAGTTCTGGTTGGAGCTTCTCCAACCTCCGAGCCCACTTTGGACGCAGGATTTCCGCCCTCCTGGCCCACAGCGAGCTCAGAATTTCCGTTACTAAGGGAGGCCGTGAGTAGGAAGTGAGCCTTGTCCCCTTTTACAACCTCCCTTGCCACTGCTGTTAAGTGAATCAAGACAGTTGTTGAGTCAGGTGGTTAAGTGAATCCGGCTTCCCCCCATGGACTTTGCTTGTACGGTGGTCGCAAAAGGGGATCAGGTGGCCCCAGGAGCGTCATGAGTCAGTTGCCAAGCGCCCAAATGCTAATCCGGTGACTGTAGAGATACTGCAATGGTCGTAAGTGTGAAGAACGGTCATAAGTCACTTTTTCCAATGCTGTTGTAACTTCGGCCACTAAATGAATGGCCGTAAGTAGAGGACTTCCGATCTCCTGGCTTTCATCTCTTCTCCGTTTGCTGCTGCTGCTGCTGCTCCTCCGTTCTTGTTTCATTTCTGTTGTTCTCCTCCTGGGGGGCGGTCGAACATCAGCCCCCCACCCCCCCCAGGCCAGGGCTCCACTCAGGCCCAGGCTGGAGGGGTCTTTGTGGGACGAGGGGCTCCCGCGGCCATCAGCTGCAAAGGGAAAGGCCAGGTGGCCGCATTCACACACACACACCACTGCCAGCCCCCCCGGGCTGTGTCCAGAGCCTTTTGCCCCCATTTAGAGGCTGGGTCTCCTGCGCCCCCAGCTGAACAGCTGCACTTCAGACAACCCACCGAATCCCGGCTGAGCTCTTTGGAAAGGGGGGGCTGGAGGGGAGCAGTCACCTGGCCAGAGAGGCTGGGAGAGGAGAGGGGTTGGGGGCAGCCCGGGCCAGCAGCTGCCCTCCCCTCCTCCGGGCCCAGCGCCCTCTCACCCAAATTCCGCCCTCTATTTATAGCGCAGGGGGCCTGGCTGGACAGCCGCCTTGTTCCTGCCTGCAGCAGCCGCACGTTTCGCAGCAGAGCAGCCGCCCGGCGCCCCAGTCAGTCTGCCCAGTTCTCATGCCAGGCAGGGGGCGTGTCCCTGCTGCCAGCCCTCGCTTGGCCTCGGTCACCGGGAAACCTGCTCAAGCCACCATTTAACTAGGTTTGTTGTCCGCCTACAAACTGACAATGAAGGGAACGTGGCTTTGCGCGCGTCTCTCTCCTCCCGGGAGCCCGAAACCAGACGGGCACAGCGGGCGAGGGAGGGAGCGAGCGCCCGCGGGCGGAGGCGAGGCCTGCGCGACGGTTGGGCGGAATCCTGGGGCCGCCGCGCGCAAAGGCCGGCGGAAGGCAACGGGAGAGGCGGCGGCGGCGGTTCGCTCGCGGGACCCGCGCAGGGCTGGGCGCAAAGGCCCCGCCCCGAGGGGGAAGCCCCCCCCCCCTCCCGGCCGGGGAAGGGTCTGGGCGCAAAATGGGGAAGGGGCGGGCCGGGCGGAGAGCGACGTGGCGGAGGCGCGAAGGGCGGGTGGGGCGATCCGTCCTCCGGGCAAACGGGCTGCGGAGTCCTGGGCGGGAGGGCCCCGCTTTCCCGCAGCGGGCACCCTAAGAGCGCAAAGAGGCCGAAGCCCCGGAAGGGCCCCGCGATCTTTCAAGCCCGCCCCAAGGCAACCGCTGCCCGCCCTCCGTCGGAGAAGTCTGGACGGACCGGGGAGGGGTCGCCGGGGCCGCCCGAGAACCGGGGGAAAGGGCTGGAAGCGCCGCCCGCTTCCTCCTCCCCGCCGGGTGTCCGGTTACAGGAGCGCCGCCGCCGCCGCTTGGCGAGGAAGGCAGGAAGGGGCCGCGGCGCCCGGGCTCCTCCTCCTCCTCCTCCTCCCGCGCGGACCGAGCAGGCTCCCCGTCCGGTCGGTGAGCTCGGGGGTCGCCCGGGGAGGCAGGAGGGGCGTCCCGGGAGGAGAAGCTCCAGCCCAGCCGGCTCCCCCTCCGCCGCCCCCGTGTCCCGGGGAGGGGCCTCCGAAGACGCCCGGGAGCGCCCCGCTCGTCCCCTCGGGAAGGTCGCGGGCGGGAGCTGGGTTCGTTGGCTGGCCCGACGCCGCTTTTCCCCAAAGACCGGCGGCTCCTCGGAGGATCGTGGCTGCCTGAAGCCCCCTCCGCCCCAGCGGGGCTCCCCCCCCCCCCCCCCCGGGGCCCGGCCGCCCCCGGGGGGGGGGGGGGGGGGGGGTCTGCCCGAACTGGGCCCCCTGTCTCCGGGGGGGGGGGGGCTGGGCTGGCTGGGTTGATCTCCAGCAGGATGGGGGGCGGGGGCGGTAGGACCCCCGAAAACCCTCGGCTGCAAAGGGAAGCCCACTCCAGCAGCCTGGGGGTTGAGGAGGAGGGTCTTCTGGGTACTGCCAGGGAGGGGTCGAGGGAGGGTTGGGCCACCAGCTACCCGGCTCCCCTGCCCAGGAATGCTGGCCCAGCTGGGAGGACTGACCACCCCTGCCCCCTCTGGGTGATGGCCAAGCAGGAGGAAGGATGGAAGGAAGGAAATCCAGAAGAAATGAAGGAAAAGGAAGGGAAGGGAGGAAGGAAGAAACAAAGGGAAGAGAAGGAAGGAGGGAAAGAAGGAAGGAAGGGTCTGGAGTGGGTGGGGACAGGAGGCAGCTGGGCTGGAGGGCGGGGGATTCTGACTTGGGGCCTTGAGACAGTTCTTAAATGTATATCACAAATAATATAATGCCCAGCAGGACTTGAGAGGGAGGGGGGGCCGTTCCGCAGCCCTTGGGAAGGGGGGGGGGCTGCTCTCTGTCCACAAGGGCCCTTCTCC